ATAGAATTTCTCATTACGAGGCGCCCATGCAGGCGCAGGCGTCGAGGCGATGCCAAAGGTGCCAGCATGGTGCAGAACAGACAGCTTATAGATACTGATGGATTCATCGTCTACGATAGTTCCGCCAAAGTAACCTGCATGCCATGCCCCTTGCGCCACATCCTGAGATCCGAAGCCATGTACTCTTTTGGAGGACAATTAATACTTCAGTTTGTCATCAGCTGGTATCGCTCACGATGGGCACACTTTCGCAGCCAAGATCTTACTTCAAGGCTTGTGGAAATCGCAAAAATACTTCATCTACGTGCTCCTTATGTGCTCCGATACTCATTCATGAACCCTGGCTCGTCCGGCGGCATTAACCTCCTTGCCAGTGTGACTGATGACAAGAGCGCGGGAACTGCAAATAATCGCCAGGTTGCGACAGATGCTGAGAAGAGCACCAGGACACGATTGCCTTGCCTATAGTGATTAGAAACCTTATGCCGTACATATTGCACCTAGAACGCCCTCGTCGTGATGCTCGGACCTCACTCGCGACCGGCCTGCCTTGGCTAACCACCCTTTCGTAAACCCGCCCCGCACAACGACCGGAATCCAGATCCGCGATCGCACTTTTAACATCAGCAAAAATGAATGCGAAACGGTGCAATACAGATACTCCGGAGTAGGAGACGCAGCCCGGGACAAGCCACATCCTGCTGGATGCTTGCCTTGGGAGTCGGTGGAGTGCTTGCCCTCCTGGCTGCCCTGTCCTGGCAGCGCTCTCGGGCAGCAGCAGACGCCGCAGCTTCGGACACCGAGGAGTGTAAAGTGGATGGAAGGACCTCACGGATTGTGTCTGACGACACGGTCGACCCTGGCGCCCTGACCCCTCCCCACGCCCGCCTGGCTCGCGCAATCAGCCAGCACCTGTCCCCTAGCAAGAGCCGGCACAGGCCTCTGCTGGGCCAGGAACTCTGGGACGGGGGCTCGGAGGGCGCCAGCGACCCCGACATGAGCGCCCACCTCGACTCTGTCCTCCTGGATGAGTCGGCCAGCGAGTTGCACCTGACCTCCGTGGACCCCCTCCAGCGCGTCGGCCGAGGCGCCAGCGGGTGAGCTCCGGCGCTGGGCTGTTGTTTTTCGCGGCAGGGGGCAATGGAACCTGATTGCCGCAAATAACAAGGAAGGGGGTGCGGGTGTTGTGTCAGGTTGGGCCGCTGTCCCAGGTGCCGAGACCCTGCCCGTGCACGCCGCCACCTCCCAGCACACACACGTACTATGTGCAGATCTGTGTACAAGGCCAGCTGGCACGGGGCCCCCGTCGCAGTCAAGTACATCCCCTGCCGCGCCGACGACGCCCGAGGCCTGAGGGCCGCTGTGCGCGAGGTGGTCCTCTCCAAGCAGCTGGGCCATCCGCACGTGGTGGGTGGGTGGAAGGAGGGGGGGGGGGGGGGGCCTGCGGAGTTTGAAGGCCAGGTGGCAGGGACCCAGCCCAGGTTCCGTCCCAGAGCAGCGCATGGTGCGAGCGCCATGTGCCACCCGAGTCGCAGCCTTCCGATCAAGCATTCCCTCCCCTTTGCTCCCTCGCAGGTGCAGTCCTACGACTGGGCTGTCCTCCCCGTCCCCACGCCCTCCCGGCCGACGCCTGACAGATGCAACCCCGCCTCCTCCTCGTCGCCACGCACCCCTCCAGGAGACTGCCCTGACCCTTCCTGCACCCCCCGCTCCCCGAAGGTGAGCCCAGCCAAGGCCGACGCCAGTGGCCAGCCAGCGGCACTGACGCTGCGAAGAGGGCCTGGCAGGCCGCGCCCGGCCACGCCCTCCAGCCCCTCGCCCTGCCTGCCCGCCACGCCCGGGCCGGACGGTTTGTCCCCGGGCAGCGCGCCCTCCAGCCCCGCCATCCCAGCCCTGCACGGCGCCGCGCTGCGGGTGGCGACGCCGACGTGGAGGGCGATGCTGCAGCCGCACGACCGGGGTTCGCCCCTCGCGACCCAGCCCTCCTGCAGCTCCTTCTCGGGTGTGCATGCGTGGGCGGGGCCGGGGGGCCTTGCTTCAGCAGAACTGAGGTGCCCGTCGGGGCGGGTACTTCACCATGAGCAGCGCCACGATGCTGCGGAGAGCGCCCGGGGGAGGACCCTCCCCAGCATCCCCACACCGCCCGTCCCGGCACGCCCTCACCCACCCTCCCCAAACCATCATGGACCCCTCACCGCAGACGCCACTGGCCCCAGCGGCCTGCTGCTGGACCGTCTGCGCTCGGCCTCGACGGCGGGGGCGCGGAAGCTGGGCACCCCGTCGCCCCTGCACCTGGGACGCAAGGGCGCGGCCCCCACCGCCCAGGACGTGCGGCCGCGGCTGGCCTCCCACTCCTCGGGCCGGGAGCAGGCCTGCGGCGCCCTGGGGGAGGAGGCTTGGTGGATGGGCGGGGCGGCGCCAGCAGCGGCTGCAGGGGAGGGGGTGTCGCCGCGGCGCGCGGGGTCCCCCACTGCCGAGCAGGCAGGCCCCGCCTCCTTGCCATTGGGGGAGCAGGTGGACGCCGCCGGTCTGCCGGGCGATGGCCCCCCGCGCCAGCCTGTCTCCCCCGCCGAGTCCTTCAACAGCGACGCGGGGTTTGGCTCCCCCCTGAAACACAAACGTGAGTCGAGGGTGCTGGGGGCACTGCGGGGGGAGGTTGGCGTGGCTGGGTGGGTGGGACAGAGGCTGGGATGGGAGGGGTGCTCACGAGTGGTGGTCATCTGATATCGCAGCACCCGCTGCTGCTGCTCGAGGGTATTGGCGGCAGGCACGCTGGTGCATGTTGGCATGATCGAGCCACTGCCCTCCCCAGGCACCCCACCTCACCCCTTCCCCTCCCCTCACCCCCCCGCCGCACCCCGGCAGTGGCGGCGCGGAGTGTGGCCCAGCACCCCCGCCAGCCCATCTTCGAGCTGGAGGGCTGGGAGCTGGGCCCCCACGACGCCGTGCTGGCGGTCGTGATGGAGTTCTGCGACGTGGGCAGCCTGGGCCGGGCGCTGAGCAAGGGCGCCTACCTGCCCAGTGCAAAGTGGAGCGCCGACGTCACACACGTGAGCGGGGCGCATAGTTGCTGTTCTATTCAAGGGCGGGGAGATGGGGGAGGAGATTTCGCCTCGAGGTGTGTGGACCAGGAGGGCAGACGCGACCACGCCACCGACTGGCTGTCTGTGCTTCACCGCCAGGCCGCCAGGCCGCTGCGATGCCAGAGCGATCCCACCAGCACACACACACACACACACACACACACACACACACACACACACACACACACACACACACACACACACACACACACACACACACACACACACACACACACACACACACACACACACACACACACACACACACACACACACACACACACACACACACACACACACACACACACACACACACACACACACACACACACACACACACACACACACACACACACACACACACACACACACACACACACACACACACACACACACACACACACACACACACACACACACACACACACACACACACACACACACACACACACACACACACACACACACACACACACACACACACACCACCACACACACACACACACACACACACACACACACACACACACACACACACACACACACACACACACACACACACACACACACACACACACACACACACACACACACACACACACACTTGCAGAGAGCACTGCTGCGGACGGCGCAGGAGGTCGCCAAGGGCATGGCCTACATCCACAGCCACGACATCGTCCATGGGTGCGTGCCTGGGTAGGGAGGGGTGATGAAGAGGAGGGAGCCCGGGGACTGATCCTCCTTGGGCAGTCCCAGGGGTTGCGAGCTTGGGAATGACCCTGTCTGGACATGGTTCGGGGCCCCATTCCTGGAGAGCTAGGGGAGGGCGACTGGCGCTGGCCTTGCTGCGCACGTTGTGCCTGCTTTGCAGCCTGGACTTGGCGTGGGTTCTCCTCCCCTCCTGAGACTCACGCCTCCCACTCCTGCCGTCCATCACCTGCAGGGACCTGAAGCCCGCCAATGTCCTGCTGACCACGCACCGTGTGGACCGCAGGGGCTACGTGGCCAAGGTCGCCGACTTTGGGCTGGTGCGCAACGCAGGCGGCTGTGGAGCTGCGGGGGCTGGCGGCCTGGCCGGGCTCCCGGGCAGCCAGGCGGGGCGCGCGGGCGGTGGGGTGGCGCTGGGCACCGTGGCCTACGCCGCGCCCGAGGTGATCGCCGGCGGGCCCGCCACCACGGCCTCGGACGTCTTTGCCTTTGGCATCATGCGTGAGTGCGAGCGAGGAGGGGGTTGGGGGGCGGGGGAGGTTGAGTGGGGGGGAGGTTGAGTGGGGGGGAGGTTGAGAGGGGGGGAGGTTGAGAGGGGGGGGAGGTTGAGAATGGGGGAGGTTGAGAGGGGGGGAGGTTGAGGAGGGGGGCCACTGGGCGGGGAAGGATCACCTGCTTGCACTATGAATGCTGTGAGATGCGGGCCATGATCTTGGGGGCACCCTGACGAGCGGCCCTGCCAGGCCTGTCCTACAGGCTGGCACCGGCACTCCTCGCTGCAACCCTGTCCTCGTGTGGCCACACCCCTCGCCCCTCCTCCGACCCCTCTTCCTGCCCTGCTCGCCTGCGCAGTGTGGGAGATGTACCACTGCCGCAGCGTGCACAGCGGGGTGAGGGAGCACGCCGTGCTGGCCGGCGTGGTCCAGGGCACCCTCCGCCCCGTCTTTGACCCCGGCTGCCCGCCGGCGTACGCCGCCCTGGCGCACGACTGCTGGGCACAGGAGTCCTGGTGGGTTGGAGGGTCTGTGATTTTGCGTTTGTTCGTGGGTTTTGGGGGGCAAGAGGTGGGGGAGGGGGATTCAGCAGACCCATCAGAGAAGACGTCGATGGAGCAGGCAGGGACGGCGGGCGGCGGTGCCTGCAGCGCAGGGCATGTTGCCAGCCAAATCACCATCGATGCCACCTGGCGTTGCACCGCGACCGGGTCGCCTCTCGTCCAGCATATGCACCTCCAACCATCTCCTCTGCCCGTGGCGCTCCCAGGAAGCGGCCCACATTCCAGGAGGTCCTGAGCCGGCTGGTGGCGGCGGAGATGGCCTTCAGGGCCGAGCGGCACGCGGGGCGTGCAGCCAGCGGGACGCATGCTGTGCGGTAGACCCCCAACACAGGTGCTGCTCGAGACAGGACCCCTCTGGCGGCATCAACCCGTCTGGCGTCTGCGATCCATGCAAATCATTCCACTCGCGCCCCTGATTTGTCATCAAGTTCGCTGTACACTCGCTGACAAACAGGCAAGCAAGGTATGGCCGCCGAGCACCCGCACTGCCAGCCAGCGGTCACACCCGCACTGCCAGGCTGGAGGGCGGCACCCGAGCCTGGAGGCCCCGGAGACCCTCCTCCCATCAATGTGGTGGGCAGCCGCGCCTGGCTTTCCCATGCCGGGCCCGGCCCTTTCAGCCAGCCATACAGTCATCATGCCTCGCTGCTGGGAGCGAAGCTGACGGTGGTGCGAGTTTGGCCCAGGAATTGGAGGCCCGTGGCCTCCGTGCCCGACATGAGCAGCGTGCTGCCTGCCGGCGTGGCCAGGCTGCCGGCGAGCTGGCTGCCGTCGGGCATGCGCAGGGTGGGGCTCAGCCCCTGCAGCCCGTGCAGGGATAGGGTGGAGTTGGCGGGGGGGAAGGGGCAGGTTTCCGGGAGGTCCAGCAGCAACAGCGACTCCTCCACCCCTGGCCCCTCAGTGGCTGGCCCCGCCCTGTCGGCCATAGCCGTGCCTGGCCTGGAACCTGCATGTGAGACGCCGCAATGTGCTGAACATACTAGCCCCAGGAGACGATGCTGAAGTCATGTGCATGGAAGTCTTCACAAAAAGGGGTAGAGTCGTGTCCCCCCTTGCCATTCATTGCACCCGTACCGTGGCTCCCTTCCGGTCCTGTGCTCACAGCGACAGGCTGTTCTCCACAGTGTGTTTACCAACGAGTGAATATGCTACTCCTGACCTCAAGACACTCGGATTCGCTCTGTGCTGAGACTCCAGCGTGCTACGAGAATGCTCCGTGCTAGGGTTCCGATGCGTGGAAGCCTGAGGCAGCATAGGAGTGCTAGTACTGGAAATGCTTGATGGTATTACAAGACAACTTTACCTTCCGGAGAGCAATCCGATGTGATGGTTGCTCGGGGGATCGCTTCCACCTCAATTTTTCGCGCCCTCCGGGACAAATATACGAGGGAAATCTCCACCAGGGATCTCTGACCTCCCCAACCTCCCACTCTTCAAACCCACCAGCTGTCGACTTGGTATGAGGTTAGAATACAGAAAAAAGACACCATGTGTTCTTGTGCAGAGGGGGTTCAGAAGCCATCAAGCCTCAAAGCCCACTTGACAGCGCCGCTATTGACAGCGGTTCAGGGTTTGCTGCGAGGAACAGGGGCGGGGGTTGGGTTTGCCCCACGCGAAGGAGAGCCACTACGCCGGGGGAACAGAGACAAGGCTTGGGGAGGTATAACCTCTTTCACAAGGAGGAGAGCATAGGGCTGCGAGTCAAGAGTTCTGCTGGTGGGTTTGATGTCAGTGCATGACCCAGGTGGCAGGCAAGCGCAAAGGGGGCTTGGTGACGAGCAAGATACGTTGGGCAGCCCTGCAGCACGACCCCTGCTGAGAGGCAGCATGTCGCCAAGGGAGTTGAGAGGCGCGATGTATCAACTGCCACACCACAAGGGGCGGGTGAGTTTTGTGCACACCATCGCTTGCGAGCTGGCTCGACCGGCGCCGCGGAAAGTGGTTCAGGAGCCAGATGGTTTGTCAAGGGGAGGTGTCGACAGAGTCCTCTGCAGGGGCAAGTCCCGTCCTGCGATCGGCAGATGCCTGCCCGCGGCCGAGGAGCGTCCCTCAGCAGCAACGGCAACTCTAGCTGCCAAAGACCTCGTAGTCTGCGGAGTCTGCGACGATGAGCTGGACGGAGCCGGCGATGGCACAGACGGTGACCAGGAAGCAGAGGACGTTGAGTGCCTCCAGGGCGTAGCGCGCCGTCGGCCCCGGCTTGCGGTACCTGATGTACATCTGCGGAGAGGTCCAGGAGGTGGGGGTTGAGATGGCAATGCTCGTGGAGGGCCCCACAGACAGTTGGTCAGCGGCTTTACAAATGCACCTTGCCCTTTGGGACCGGTACCCCTCCACCCCATTGATGCATGCGTCCCTTTCCCAGCCCTGCTGCATGGGCAATCCCGCCGCCCCCGGCCCGAGGGCCGACTGTGTCGGCGCACGCAGCAAAACTCCCGCTTACCCAGCCTCCCACCGCACCCAACCCTGCCCACCTCGATGGGGTAGAAGACGGTGGCGGGCCAGAAGCCGATGGCCCCAATCAGGCCAACGATGTCGCTGAAGAAGGGCAGACAGACGGAGATGAAGGCGACAAAGGCGACGTAGGCCGACCTGAACACGATCCTGAACGCCACGGAGGCCACCCAGGGCGGGAAGGCCTTCACGCTCGCCATCTGGCGCTGCAGGAACTCAAACAGGGGCTGGGAGAAGACCTGGTAGGCCGGCAGCATGTGGATGAGGACGAAGATGTTGGTGGCGCGGATGAGCCAGACCGGGGTGGTGAAGCAGGAGATGATGTTGCCGCAGACCTCGTTGCCAAAGGCGACGTAGCCGGACACCGCGACCGCGATGTAGAAGCTGGTGATGATGACCATCGACACGTTGACCGCGCGCTTGATGTGGAAAACGGGACCCCGGCCCGCCGAGCGCATGGTGTCGGTGATCTCCACCAGGATGAAGGAGAAGGAGTAGGCGAAGACGATTGCGCCCATGGCGTTGAACACGCTCCACATCTTGCCGGCGGGGGTGTTGGGCACGCCGTGGATACTGGACTCCCCGGAGCTGCCCTCGTTGATGGCCAGGGCCAGCGCGATGATGGAGTAGGCAAAGGAGGTGAACATGCCGACGGCAGACACCACCCACAGCGAGTCCATGTTGGGCAGCTGGGACAGGACCAGCTGGGCGCCGCCAAAGATGACGCAGAACACCCAGTACTTGTCGAAGCAGCCCTCGCCCTCGGCGTTGCAGTAGGTCTTCGCCACGTTGGACATGGAGGTGGCGCCGGTGATGTTGTCTGCAGCGATGTGAGTTTGAAGTAAGGATCAGTGGGGCTCGACAGATTGGCGCGGCAGGGCAGCACATGTGGCAGTCAAGCCAGGTGGATGCCAGCCCGGCAGGGCAGGGCATGCTGTAGGTGGGTGCTGGAGGGTTCTCTGCAGCAGTCCCAAGATTGTTGCCAAAGATCTCACTTCCCGCATCCAGCCCACAGAAACAGAAACACTCACAGGCAATGGCCGTGAGGAAGAGGTTGAAGTACTGGACACACGCGAGCAGGCGGCAGTGGGTCTCGCCCATCAGGGTGCGCACGGCGCCTGCAGGGCATGAGAGTATGGCATGATGGTTGAGATGGGGACGGCAAATTGCACACGCTCATCCCTCCAAAGGGCAGAGCTTGTTGAACCCTCCTGGGCAGACACAGCAGCATGGCACGGCCTGACCCCTCGCACGATACTCTTCAAAACTTGGTTCTGCAAAGCGCAACCCTATCACTAGGTGCCAGAGAGCCACCACTTACCCATATAGGACCTCTGACGGACACCATTGACCAGGCAAACGTCGGCCAGCAGGCGGGTTGTGTACCAGGTGATGCCGGCAAAGGCCAGGAGAACGAGCATGCCCCCGATCCAGCCCAGCTGGGCGATGGAGTAGGAGAGTGACAGGACGCCGGCGCCTGTCGGATCGAAAAGGGCATGGTCGTAGGAGTGAAAATTTGGGGGTGATCGACCGCGCCCAGGCAGTGAGCAGCTCCTCGGTCGACTTCCCGGCCAGCATCCGCTCTCCCCGCGTGGAGGGGTCGGAAGCATGTACCGCCAGGGGCTGCCCTCGCCGACCAGCCCCACCACAGAGGCAGCCGACGGGTCCTATTCCCCGCCCAAGCAGAGAGCCGAGCCCGGAGTCTCACCCACGACTGCTGTGATGATATGGAACACGCCGGTAACCCAGTTGCCGTGCCGGGATGCCTCCAGGTCAGAGTCCTCGCCGGAAGAGAACTTGGCCATAGGGCTTTCCTCGTCGCCCTTCATGCCACCGTTACCTGCCACTACGAATTGGTCGGCCATGTCGTCGGATGGATTGTGAGAGGGAGATTGGTGTCTGAAGTCTCTAGGGTGAGTGGGGCGAGCCAAGGGTTATGTAGGCTGTGGCGAGGGGCGCGGGGGGCATGGACCCCATGGCAGTACGAGGGTTGTACCGGATTAGCTGACGTTCCGGAGTATTTGCGCAATCAGCACCACAGGATGCTACGATTTCCTGAACAAGGGGGCTTGAACGTGCATTTATAGGTCTCAAGATACTATTCATCTGTTGTAACGGCTCTAGTGCTGGGACTATGCGCGCTGATCGAGTCCTGGCAGCTTCGCTGATGGGCGCCGACAGCCCGCGTGCCGGTCTGGCCGATGCTGAGCTGTCCAGAAAGACCTATCACTCAATCCGTGACCCCGAGCACAACTCTACGTTTTTAGACAGCTACAGCCTCTTCTTTGCGTTGCGTCTAGGGTATCGAATGCAATCTCTGAAACAAAAGCGCTTCTGCAAAAGCCGCGCGCATACCTCCGTGTTGGTTCGGGGGTCAACAGAGGGCATTGCGATTATTGGGGTCTCTTTACAAAACAAGATCAATTCATCCTAACTCGTATGCCTCAGAGAGTCTGATATGTACCGTAAACCAGCGATCCGAGTAGAAGGGCAACTCGCGGCCGGCCGAATGGTTTGCACGCACCGGCCGAGCTGAATCCTCCGGGAGCCCGTCTGTGCAGAGGGGGGGTTGCCCAGTGTGCAGAGGATATGCGTGGAGGCCCGGTCTTACCACCGCCATTCAGTCCTTGTACTTGGCCATGAATGACCTGAGGATGCACAGGGGGGTGGGGGTGGTTGAGCGGGCTCCGCCACTAGGTGCAGCACTGTCCAGCATTGGCGCCCACCCCCAGCTCAGCCAATAGTCCCCACCGCCAGAGGGGGCGGGGGGGAACTTGGTAAAATACAATAGACATTGGTCCTGTATGCCAGCCGTGTCGTTCACCTTCTGCTACTTCCCTACCCCTCAGCAGCAATCTTCCCCCACACACTCGAGAGCATCATCAACCCCCATCTACCCACCCACCCCCCTCACCACCACCAAAACCAAAAACCCGGGACGCACTTGTGGAAGGTCCTCAGCTTGTCCACGAACTCATGCATGACGTCCTCCTGGGGCAGGATGGTGGTGCGCAGGTGGAAGGTGCCCTCCACCTGGCCGAAGCCCGATCCGGGCACGGTCACGATGCCGGTGTCGGCCAGCAGGGCCAGGCAGTAGAAGGTGTCGGGGTCCTTGCCCGCCTCCTTGGCGGCCTGGATGGCCTTCGCCGGCAGGTGCAGGCGCGGGAAGGAGTACATGGCGCCCTCGGTGAAGTTGCAGGATGCGCCCTCCAGCCCATTGAAAGCGTCGGTCATTACGTGGGCCCGCCGCCTGGCGGTGATGGGGGGGTGGGGGTGGGGTGGGTTGTGCTGGGGGTGCTTGGGAAACCAGGGTGGGCAGGATCAGGGGGAGAATATACGGCTGGTTCAAAGGAGTGTATGAGAGCAGGTGGCACAGGGTACGCAATACATGAGGAGAGCAAGGTGAGGGGGGAACCGGGGACGGAATGCCTCTGGCCCAGCGCTGGGGAACATCTGGTGGGCATCGTGCTATTCAGCCCCAGCTCCCATATCAACAACCCCCCCCCCCAAAAAAAAAGTCAAAACATCAATCCTACCTGAGGCTGGCCAGGCTGTCCTCGTACTGCTTGGCGTACTGACGCGCGGCCTCACTGTCGCCTGTGGGCGGCGCCACCATGAGGGACACGGTAGCCTGGCCGACGGTGTTGGGGCACAGGTTGACGCTGGCCACCTTGTAGAGCTCCGCCTGCGCGCCTGGGTGGATGTTGACCCACTCCACGTACCCTCCACGTAGGCCGCACTCGCCCAGCATGCCCTTGGACACGGTGTGGAAGGAGGCCAGCTCCACGGAGCTGGCCCAGGGCTCGCCCATCTCGCGCAGCACGCGCTTGGCGCTTACAAAGGGCTTCTCGTCCTGGTAGATGTTGGGCTGGTACACCTCGTCCGCCAGCAGCACCAGGCCCTCGTCGTGGGCAAAGGCGATGAGCTCACGCAGCGTCTCGCGCGTCAGCACCTGGCCCGTGGGGTTGCCTGGGTTGATGAAGGCCAGGGCGCGGAGTACGGTGCCCTCCGCCCGCGCCTTCTTCACTGCGCCACGCAGCGCCTCCAGGTTCAGGTCCCAGCCCGCGTCCTCCTCCGGGTAGTAGGGCACCAGCTTGCCGCCGAACAGCTGGATGGCGGCGGAGTAGAGCGGATACTGCGGGATAGGGCACAGGATGCCGTCGTTGCCGTCGCGGATGAGCGCGTTGAGAGCGTACTTGACGCCCACCGACGCGCCGTCGGTGAGGTAGATGTCCTCCGGGTCGGCGGGCTGCCCGTCCCGCGCCTCGATGAAGGCGGCCACCTGCTGGCGGATGGCGGGCGCGCCGCGCGCGTCCGAGTACGCGCCCATGCGCCCGCCGAAGGCGGCCAGCAGCTCGCGCGCGCGGTCGATGGCCTCGCGTGGGAACAGCGCACTGGCCGACGGGTGGTCCAGCAGGAAGGGGGCGAGGAGCAGGGCCAGCACCTGGCGGTTGAACACCAGCGGCTCCTGCCCCAGCTGCTGTGGATTGCCGATGTTGGTGTAGATCACCTCCCCGCCAGACTTGGCCAGCTCCTGGGCACGGGTGTACAGCTCGCCGCGCACCGCATACTGCGTCTTCAGGATGTTGTCGTTCAGGAGGTCGGGGTGCATGGCCTTGCCCTCCTTGGAGGCGGGGCGGGGGGAGTCATGGGCGGACCGGGACATGCCTGGGAGCTGGGCCGGGAGGGTGGTGGGGTCATGAGTGGCGGGGGCCAGGGACCGAATCTCCGTGAGGAGTCGGGTCGCGATCCTGCGGCCGCGAATCATGGCACCCGGAGGCACGGCACCTCGGGGGGCAGGTGTGTGGGGGGGAAGGTCAAGGGTGGGGAAGTTACCTGGAGGCCAGGGGATGACTGGATCAGTGGCAGGAGCGGGTGAGCCTCACGCAGGGTCGCAGGGGGCGGAAGGGTCTGGGGTCGGGGCGCCGGACCCGCGGCTGAGGCGCGCCAGGAAGCCCCTGTCGGGGGACGGGATGGCGAAGCCCGCACGTGGCCACATCTGGCTGACAGGGCCCATCCGGGGCCGGATGTGATTGCCCGCGCGCGGCCCAGGATTGCCCGTGCGGTGCCTGCTCTGGGATCCCTCCGAACACGAATCTGGAGGTGACCATGGCGCCCTGGCGGTGTGTCAGTCCCTGCATGGCTGGCCATGCACCGGAGTACATACGTCTCCCAATGCAGTTATATCGTGACGATTAGTTCTTCATTTTTCACCGGTTGCCGTCCGCAGCTGAGCAGGGAGCGGCAATCGTGCCCAAAACCGGCAGCGAACAATTTGCGGCATGCAGGTCGCGGCTCGCACATGGCCTGCGGGCACCTATTGAGCAGAGTCGTGGAGGATTTCTCAAACGTCATGACGGGTCTCCGGGTGTGTTTCGATGGGGCGAGTGGAAGGTTGGGCTGTTCAAGCATTGCAACAACCCCACCCCGACATGCAATGCCTTTGCAGCATGCTCTGCCTGATCATGGACATGATCCCTGCTCAGGTAGCCGTGGAAGGCTGCTGCCATGGAGAGCTGGACGCCATCTACAGCACCCTGCAGGCGCTTGCAGAGCAGGACGGCCGTCCCATCGACCTGCTCATCTGCTGCGGCGACTTCCAGGTCTGCTGAGCTTTGATGTTGTGATCTGTTTCTCCACTCCTTCCCCACAAGAACAAGCCTGCCTTCATACATGCCCGCTTTGCCTGGCGTCACCATGGCTTCTCATCCCCCTCCCCGCCCTCCCCCACACACAGGCGGTCCGCAATCTGGATGACTTGGAATGCATGGCCTGCCCGCCAAAATACAGGTCAATCCAGTCTTTCTACAGGTACTACTCAGGCGAGGCCCGGGCCCCCATCCCCACCCTGTTCATCGGCGGCAACCATGAGGCGGCCAACCACCTCTGGGAGCTGCACTACGGCGGCTGGGCCGCGCCCAACATCTTGTACCTGGGCGCCGCGGGTGTGGTCGGCTTTGGCGGCCTGCGCATTGCGGGCCTCTCCGGCACCTATGCCGCGCACCACTATCCGCTGGGCCACTTTGAGCGCCCGCCGTACAACAACAGCAGCATGCGCAGCGCCTACCACGTGCGCTCGCTGGAGGTGCACCGCCTGGCCAGGCTGGCCACCGCCCCGGACATCATGCTGAGCCACGACTGGCCGCAGGGCATCGCGCGCCACGGCGACCTGGACGCCCTGCTGCGAAGAAAGTCCTTCCTGCGCAGCGAGGTAACAACAGGAAGAGGGGGTGGGCAGCCTGGGTTTAGGGGTTGGTGAGGAGAGGGCAGGTGGGGATCAGAGGCAGGATCTTGTGTGCAGAAGCGATGAGGGGGAGATGGGCTGGACGCTGGCAATACCGCAGCAGCCCTGCATTCCTTGAGTATCACCCTGGTGTGTACACAAAGAGACCTGTGGACCCCACGCCTTGCTGAGCGAGAGTTGTAGCGACTGTGCTGCCCAGCTGTGCCTTCGAGCGGTGCCAGTCTTCTGCATGTGGTGATCACCCAGCTTTCAAAAGGTCGCCAGCATATCACCCACACCTCCATTTATCCACTGCCACCCCCCTTGTCCCACCCTCACACCGTCCAGATCACCGACAACTCTTTGGGCTCCCCCCCAGCAGCAGAGCTGCTCCACCACCTGCGCCCTGCCTACTGGTTCAGCGCCCACCTGCACACCAAGTTTGCCGCGCTAGTGCGACACGCTGCGGAGCCCGAGCAAGAGGTCCCACAGAAGCATCCACCCAAAGGCTCGTCACCCGGCACCCTTGAGCCCAGAAGCAGCAATGCAGCCCCTCGTGTCCGGGGCCGCCACCCCGCCACGCGCTTCCTGTCCCTGGACAAGTGCCTGCCGCGCCGCCAGTTCCTCCAGGTGCTGGACTTCCCCGAGGCCTCCGGCGCGCACGAGTTCACATACGACGCGGAGTGGGCGGCGGTCCTGCGCGCCACGCACGAGCTGCAGAACCTCGCACCGGCGCCCACGGCGCTGCCGCGCGGGCCGCCGGCCCCCGTGACCCCGGCGGAGGTCGCGTCGGCCGAGGCGGCCCTGCGCGCCGCCTCTCCCACCGGCGACCTGGCCGTGCCCACCAACTTTGTGGCCACCGCGCCGGCGCACGACCCGGGTCGGCCCGGGCAGCGGGGGCGGATGCCGCGCGCCGCGCCGCGCAACCCGCAGACCCTGGAGTACCTGCGCCGCCTGGGCCTGCCTTATGACCTGGACCTCGATGCGGTGCCCGGCCCGCCGCACGGGGGCTGGGCCGCAGGAGGTCCGACGCCGCCGCAGGCTACCAGAGCCTCGGAGCCCAACCCGGAGGAGATCGACCTCGACCTCGAGTCTGAGGAGGAGGACAAGGACAGTGCAGAGGCGGAACACAACTCAAACCTGTGCGGCAGCGACGGAAGGCCCCCTCTCCTCGCCTCGTTGGCCGCCGTGCTTGGGCCACAAAACCCAGAGGAGGTCCAGCTTGACAGCGAGACGGAGGAAAGCTGAGTGGGTGGAATTGATGGGGTGGAAGTGCATAAAGCTTAGCTGACCTGACTCTGTGCCGTCACAATGTTTTCAGCAATACTCTGATGAGTGTCTTCGGAACCCAAAGTAATGTTTTAAATCACTGTGACAAATTACAAGCTTGAATATGAGCTGAAGGAAGACACTGGTGACGCAGGCAGGATGAATAGCTCTTGAGGCTTCGGCACTGAAAGAGGCTTTGTTGAGCGCGACACTCTGCACAACCATGACCATACGCGTCCATGGATGCCATCCGATTCCTCAGGCCTGGCCTGCCTGACCGCCCACCTTCTGCTCTAGAAGAGCGTTCACCTGAGCCAGCGCTGTTTGCCGGGACTTGATGAGCTGTGTGCGGGAGGAGTGCGATGGTGTAACTTCAGTATATGGGATGGGGACAAACTAAGCTGGATGGCAGGGTAAGCCGTCCTGGTAGCAATCAGACAGCCGCGGTTGTCATGGCAGGCAAACTGGATCTAGATACATAGCCTGTTCTCGGCCGTTCCTGCTAGCATCGGCACCCATCCATACCTGAGACAGTTGCTCCGTCTTGTCCCTCACGAGCAGCACCTTCCTGCGGCAGTAGTCAATGCCGCCCTCCAGATCACGCTGCATGCAAGCGAGGGGAGTGCGGCTTGCTTAGAAATATAATAGACACTGATGGACGTTATGCAGAACTTTGAAAGGGTTGGCTCATAGGATGGATGTGGATGAATGGTTCAACCACCAAGAAATGCACCCATGGGGTCCCCCCCCTCCAGAGTAGCCCACCTCGACGAAATACCCGGTACCAATCTCCAGGAGCACGCTTTCCACAGACTCTAAGGTCCCAGATACGTACAGAGATTCGGTGAGGGGGAGGAGAAGGGGCTGACCTGCATCAAAGCAAGGAGTGGGCAGGGACGTGAGTCAGATGGTATGGGTGTAACATCAGAATGCACTCCAACTCCACATGTAGCCGATCCTCCCTTTCGCGGCTGCAATTAACGGGGATGATACCAAGCCATGTGATCAAGTTCTCTGCCTGCCAGTCCTAAATCCATCCCAGCCAGGTCTCCTCACCTTTTTTCTGCCCTTGCAGGTACTCTACCGACTGCCCTGCAGCGGCAAACTTCCCCGCCGTCTGCTGCAAGGTGAGAGCATTCTGGATGAATCCATTGATCTCGCCTTCCAGCTGCTTCCCCACCTCAGCTAGCTCCTGTGGGCCCAGGGAGTCGAGCCCGACGGACTCTCCTGCCATCGAGGCGAGGGGGCCCACGAACAGGGGCTCGTAAGTCTGTGTGTCTACACACCTGACTGTTACTATGCACTTGTAAGGATTTGGTGACCGTATTGAACGTGGATGTCCTGATGATGGATGTGAATGCTTCCATCGCGCCTTTGACCACCCGCAATCAGGCTGCTGCCATTGCGCGCTCTCAGCTGCAACCCGCGATGAATACATGACTATACGCCTGCGCACGCACAGCTCAGCCATCAGGCATAATATTGGACTAGACTGGTCTCATAATATGCATAATTATTGATCCTGGCTTGGAGGCGGAGGAACCCGAGGCGAGGCAGGCATGCCCCCACGCAGCTCTTCCCTCTCACCTCTGCTGCGGGCATACTTTCAGCAGGGAAATTCGTCTTGGTCCTTGGAAACATTCAATCAGATCAGGAGCAGTGCTGGCGCCAGCCTCGCGGACTCTGCCCGACGTGGGTATGCAGCCACCCGGGCAGCCCTGCGCTCGGCCCTCCCGGCCCAGGAGGCAGAGGCCGTGGAGAGGAGTGTGCCCAGAGCGCCACCAAACAAGGCCCGCGGTAGTCACAACCAGGGTGAGACTGGGATCGCATGGGTTTGGGCCTCGGGGGAGTGGTGAGTAGTTGAGGGTAGTTGGCCGCCACTTTGATGGGCACAAGAGTGGCTATACGTTTTGCATGGCCCTCGGGTTTGGTCAGGTTGGTCCTGGACGTGTGAAAACGCAACTGTCTCACCATCTCTGCGAGAGGTCAAGGTTCAGGTCCACCACCCTGCGCGTCCCAACACATGCCGTGTTGCGTACACCCACCCTCCCGACAGCACAATCACCCCCCCTCAACCATCCAGGCTCCCCAGCGGCTGGTCCATCCACCAGGCACACCCCTGGGACCTCCACCGCTCGCGCACAGGTGAATGGGAACGTCCAGCGCCAGCCCGGGCCGCAGCAGCAGCCCCAGTCCGGGCCTCGGTCCAGGGCAGCCGGCCCCCACACGCCGCCCGCGCCGCGGCCACGCCACATCCCCCGCACCGCACCGCCCAGCCCGCCCCCCCAACGGCCCGGGGTCAACCACATCCCGGCCCCCCGGCCGCCGGGCGGGGCTCCGCGTGCTGCAGCGAGTCCGGGCAAGGCCACGCCAGGAGGCGCGGCCCGGCGCGAGGCGCGGCACCCGCGTACCCCCGAGCAGCAGCGGGAGTGGCTCAAGGCCACGGGCAAGTGGATAGACCGGTCGGCGCCGGGCGCGACGTGGAAGCACCCGCGCACGCCGGAGGAGCAGCGCGAGTGGCTGCGGGCAAACGGGATGCTGTGGGAGGCCGGGGCGCAGCCGCGCCGGCACCCGCGCACGCCCGAGGAGCAGCGCGAGTGGCTGCGGGCGCAGGGGAAGCTGGGTCCTGACCAGGCACCCAGGTGGGGCAGCGCCGGCGACATGCAGCAGCAGCAGCAGCAGCAGCAGCGGCGGCCGCGCCAGGCGCACCCGCAGGCGGAGCTGTGGGGGGAGCACGCCGACCTGCAGGATGGTCGGGGGTCGGGGACGAGACCCAAGCCCGTGCGCGCGGCGCCGGCGGTGCAGCCGCCGGTGGTCATCCCCGCGGACGTGACCGTGCTGCGCCTGGCCAGCCTGTTTGGTGAGCGGCGCAGGTCGATGGCCGTGCCTGGGTGTCGTGGCTCTGGGTGTGTGACAGGGCGTGTGGGTCTCCCTCATGCCCAGGGCTCCTGCCCGCACGGCTGGGCCTTCCTCACTCGCGTGCCTCACAGCCCACCTCCTCTCCCTACCAAGTGGCACCCCCACCCCACACCGTGCATCTTTCTCACATTCTTGCGTGTCCCCCCCCCCCCCCCTCCCCCCACCAGGCTGCCCGCTGTCCCGGCTGGAGGGCATCCTGGCCAGCCTGGGCTCCCCCCCTGGCTCCGAGCAGGAGCTGGTGTCGCCCGAGGACGCCGAGCTGGCGGCCATGGAGCTCGGCGTGGCGGCGGTGCTGGACCCTGAGGCGGCGGCGGTGGCTTCGTCGTCATCCAGGGACGCCCCCGACGCGGCCCCCCGCCCGGCGGTGGTGGCGGTGATGGGCCACGTGGACCACGGGAAGACCACGCTGCTGGACGCGCTGCGGCGCACGGCGCTGGCGGCGCGCGAGGCGGGCGGCATCACCCAGCACATCGGCGCCTTCAGCTTCCCGCTCCCCGCCTCCGGCACCGCGCTGACCTTCCTGGACACGCCGGGGCACGCGGCCTTCTGCGCCATGCGCGCGCGCGGCGCGGCGGTCACCGACATCGTGGTCCTGGTGGTCGCGGCCGACGACGGCGTGATGCCGCAGACGCGCGAGGCGCTGGCGCACGCGCGCGCGGCGGGCTGCCCCGTCGTCGTGGCGCTGACCAAGTGCGACGTGCCGGGCGCGGCGCCCGCGCGCGTCCGCGCCGCGCTGCTCTCCCTGGGCCTGGAGCTGGAGGAGGCCGGGGGCACGGTGCAGGTGGTGGAGGTGGCCGCGCCGCGCGGCACAGGCCTGGACGCCCTGGAGGAGGCCCTGCTGCTGCAGGCGGAGATGATGGACCTGCGCGCCAGCCCCTCCGCGCGTGCCGCGGGCGTGGTGGTCGAGGCGCGGCTGGACAGGGGGCGCGGCCCCGTGGCCACGGTGGTGGTGCGCCAGGGCACGCTGCGCGCCGGCGACGTCGTCGTGGCCGGCGCGGAGTGGGGACGCGTCCGCGCGGTGCGCGGACCGGCGCGGGCGCGGGGTGCGGGAGTGATGGCCGCGCGGCGGACACCGCGGGCCCCGGCCAGCCGGCGGAGATCACGGGCCTGCGCGGCGTGCCCGCCGCGGGCGAC